TCTCTCTCTCTCCCTCTCTTTATCTTTCGTTTCATGATGATTCCACAATTTGATCGACATATAGATGAACCGGTTCCGATATCGTGGCCGCACCACGGAACGATATCGTTCGAAAATGTGTCGTTGCGTTATGAGAACCAGACCGTGAACATTGTTACGAATTTAAATTTACGGATTCCGGCCGGTCAAAGATTGGGTATTTGTGGACGTAGCGGTAGTGGAAAATCAACGCTTGCAATGGCATTGTTTCGTGTGGTTGACATCGTTTCGGGCCACATTTTTATCGATGATGTCAATATTGCAACAATTCACACAGACGAGATACGAACCCGATTATCAATAATACCGCAAGATGTGATGTTATTTAATGGCACGATACGTGAAAATCTCGATCCAAGCAACCACTATACGGATTTAGATTTATGGAATAGCTTGGAAATGGCCCAATTAAAACCGGTTATTGTTTCGATGGCTGCCGGTCTTGATACACACATTGTCGATAATGGCAGCAATGTATTTAGTGGCGGCGAAAAACAATTATTTTGTTTAGCAAGAGCTGTGCTAAGGGGTTCAGTTTGTCTAGTATTAGATGAAGCGACTAGCTCATTGGATGCATCAACTGAATTAGCACTATTGGAGGCGGCAAATAAAGCATTTCATGGTCGAACCATTATCACAATTGCTGTAAGTAAACACACTCAATCACTCACACTCTTACACACTTATTTGCATTAAATATTTATATATTTATTTTCGTGGCTATTCGGTGCGGAGCTTTGTGATTTATTTACTTTTTTACTTTCGCCGACAGCATCGATTAACAACCCTCTTGAACTACGACCGAATTATTGTCATGGATAATGGTAATATTGTTGAGGAAGGAACACCCAATGAACTTCGGCACAAATGCGCTGGAAAATTTGCTTCAATGTTATACTCATCCATTCAGAGCCACGACTCTTACTTACCTGATGAAAAACTTTAAGGAACATATCCAATAGAGCCGATGGAGTGGTCATATTTCAGCCAACAGTATTTTAGCAAACATACCGTTTTGTGTTGTTTTAACACTTTTCATAAGTTGTCTCGTATAACTACTATGCCAAAGCATTTTGTGTCATATTTCTCTTTATGGTATTTTTTTTTGTCAATTTAAGTTGTTTAGTCGGCTTTGTATCGATATTGTAATTATTGGTTAATGTATAACGCTAAGAAACTATTTAAAACAATGTTTACACCTGGGTTTTATTTCAACAACATTTTTCGATCAATCACAACCTTTCACATGTGGAGTGTGTCGAAGCAAACTTTCATTTTTTACTAAATATATTGTGATACACAGCGTTCCGAAGGGGAAATGAAGTGTGTAGCACACGTATCTCGGCTCACGCATACATTCAAAGCTATCAAATATTTTTATTCTATAGAAATATTTATTGCAATATATTTAGTAAAAAATGAAAGTCTGAGTGTGAAGTATTTGCAGCCATCAATTATAGTTTATATGTAATTTGATAGCTTCTTAAGGTGGCTTCTTAAGCTTCATACATGGACACGGTCGAAATTTAAAGAGGATCCATTTACATATAAAAAAAACTAGCAAATCCGAATCATTTTTTCTAAAAAAGCTAACAAAAGGGGGTTTTTCATTCCACTCCAATCACAATTGTTCACGGTATGCGAGAATTTAGATCAACAAAGAAAAAACGATAGCAAAACGTAAGAATTTGGAACTCGTTGCAAAACTCTTGGAAATTGAAAAAATTTACGCCTTTAAAAATGCTGACCAAGGTCTTTTCGAAGAATTTGTTCAGATGTACTTTCTCAATCCGTTATCCAGGGGATGTAATTCTACCTCGATCCTAGTCAGAAGCTATATGTAATTTGCCACCGCTTTAAATGAATTCATTTCATTTTATTGAGATTAACTTGCATTTCAAACAAAAGTCTTCAAAATATGTCGATTATGTTGATATAATAAGGTACGTATAGTACATTCATTTGACTTTCTTAAATTTAAAATATATTTCATAACATTTAGTGCCTGCACTAATGAGCATATCCATTTTGGATTGGGTACAAAGTGTGATCTTTATGCAAAAATTCGAATCGAAAATAAATTGTACATTTTTTTTGGTGTAAATTTACTCCAATAATTAGTAAAAGAATAAAATATAGTATAAAAATGATAATAAAATTAAAACTAATTTTAAAAATAAGCATCCCATCCAGTAAGTTCATCTGGTGGTTCATCACTGTCACGTGGGTATTCATCGAAGTTTGATAAATCGGTATTATTTTTGATGGGTCTTTTGAGCGGTGCCGTAAGTGTTCTATCTTCTAGTTTGTCCCATTGAAATCCTTCAAACCACCTGAAATCGCAATTAATTCCAAATAAAAAAATCGCATCGAACTATAAACACAATAGATTCTTACGCATGTTTCTTTACGTCAGCAATGCCCTTCTTCTGATATCCCAATCTATCAGTTGGCGTTTGACGACACAAGCCTTTAATGAGATGTTGTGCACTTTTCGGTATTTTATGTGACATGGTTACAACGTCAATACCACGTAGTATCAAATTGTACGTTTTCATATGGTCTTTGCCGCGGAACGGTGGTTTCCCCAGCAAAAGTTCATGAATAAATACACCCAACGCCCAATAATCAACAGCACGATCGTGTCCTTTATTCAATATAATCTCGGGCGCAACGTATTCAGGTGTACCAGCAAAAGTCCATGTTTTCGAATTCGGTCCGACACGTTTTGCAAAACCAAAATCAACCTAGCGGAGGTGAACAAGAAAAAAAAACACAGAATAATTTATTTTAAATTACAGACGATCATTATAAATGTAGAATAATAATTGCGTACTAGTTTGACGTATCCATCGGCGTCAATCATTAAATTTTCCGGTTTTAGATCTCGATAAATGATTCCACGTGTATGTAAATAATCAAATGCTTCAACAACACATGCTGTTACGAATTTTGATGTTTTCTCTTCAAAACATTTCGTTTTCTGAAGTTGTGTCCACACATCACCGCCCAGACAGCATTCCATTAAAAAGTACAAGTATTTTCGATTGCGATAGGTTTTGTACAATCTACGCAAATTGCAAAGGATGAATGATAAGAAAAAAAATGACAAAATAACAATACATTTAGTTTATAAAAAGCGAGAGTGGCGCAAAGAGGTGGAGATGGGGTGAGTAGAATGAGAAACGAAAGGAAAAAAACCAAGGAACAAAAGAAAGAAAGAGAGAAATGGTGCAATTGCAGTCAATATTCACTTACTTTACAATAAACGATGAGTCGCACGATGACATGATGTCTTTTTCACTGTAGGCGTGCTCAATTTGACCTTGGCTTGCTACCTCACATTTTTTCAATATTTTCAGTGCAAATGTTTCTTTTTTATCGTATTGTACGAGTTCCACGCGTCCAAAACCACCAACACCCAACGTGCCTATTATTTCCAAGTCCGACAATTGTATGTGATCATAAACTACATTATCAAAACAAAATGAAACAAACAAATAAATAGAATGAAGGCGAATAAAAAAATGCGTCGCAATGACGCGCTTGAAAATTCCATTTTCTATACTCATCAACTTACGTGGGCTTATGACGTTTTTATTCGGTGCTGGTATAACGATACCTTCTTCATCTGGAATTTGATCGATCGGTTTTTGTTTCAATTCTTCCAATTTTCCAAGATACTTAATGAACGCTCTGTTTAAATGAGAAAGCGAAAAATGAATTTTGGTTTCTATTAGGCAATGTTTTTGAGTTACTCACGATCGGTCCAATGTAAGACACTCAGTGCCCGGTTCATTTGCAATGATATTCGCCATACGACGCGCCTTATTAATTAATGCCTGTTCTCCGAAGTAATCGCCACGCTTCAGCATTCCAACGATACGAACATCGCCGTCATTCATGCGTTTTGTTACCTATAACCAGTATAAATGTCATATTTCGCTCCAAATAATTTTGTAAATTTAAATAGCTTACCGTCACACTACCGCCACGAATGATATAAAACTTATCTCCCTGATCGCCTTGTCTAATAATGGTGCTACTTGTCGCATAAAATTCACGTTTCAATAAATCGCCAATTTTATGTAAAACATCCTCTGAAACGCCTTGCAACACACGAACCGAACTCAAAAATTTAATATTCTGTTCTCTTTCCTGGCTACCAGTTTTCATCATAATTTTTTGAAAAATCTTTCGATCCAACGCCCAAACAAATGCATCCGTTTTTACTTTAATCGATGCAAAACGACGAGCCTTATACAAAATGGCCAATTCACCAAAAACAACACCCGGACCGAATATTTTTATAATTTCACCATTTTTAATGACTTCATATTCACCTTCGGCCGATACATAAAATTGATTTCCACTTTCACCTTCTTTTATCACATAACTATTTGCTTTCAAAACTTGCGGAATCATTGCGTTAACAAGAGCCTGCAATCGTTCTGCGTCCATCATATTATTGAGAAAATCATTGGCAATAATTGCTGATTTTATGAGTTTTTCCGTTTCTTCACTTTTTTCATACACTTTTAAATCCAAATCAAAATCACGCGTACTTTTCTGATCGATACTATCAGCGATAACACCTTCTCTTTTCGTCCGAGATCGTGTTTCATTCTGTTCGTTTAACGCTTCGCTTGTATCGTCGAAATTTGCAAATGAATCATCAAAATTATTGTTGTCGGTACTTTCACCGCCCACCGAATTACTGTGACTTGATTCTGCTGTCGATGTTTTGGTTTCCGTTGATTTTTTCTCGCCCAAAATCTTTACATTTTCTGAAAAACTAACCGATTTATGTGCTTCTTCGATGTCATCGGTTTCAATGCCTGAGTCGGCCTTTTGGCGATCATTTTCGTCGAATAAACTTGATGCAGATGGTTCATGCGTTCGGGGGTATTCATCTTCATAGTATGAATCGTCGAGGGTCTGCTTTGGCACACATTTCATTGATAAGGAATCGGGCAATTCGAGTGGCTTTGGATTTAAAATTTTCTCATAATCGAATTCGTGATTTAGCTCTTTCTACAAAAGCAACATTTAAATAATTATCGAATAAAATTGTTGAAATTGAAAGAAAATAATCGATTTGTTACCTTTTCCGATATAACACCATTTTGATTTGACTCCACGGTCACTTGAGATGCTCGCGGTGATATGCGATTGTTGGCAATGCTACCATTTCGATTTGGTTTTGATTTTCGACCCTTCTGTGATACCTTCTCATCGTCGATTGTGTCCATGTCAAATTCGGCATTTTTCTGAAAGGAAAATGTCTGAAGTTGAATGAGTGAAGTGGTTGAAGTTTACAAAAATCATTGGCAAACAAGCGAAATATTTAGTCTTTTGCGGAAAAGCAACTGCAAAACATTTGATGAATTATTATTTATTTTTCATACACCCATAAGCAAGCTTCATAAGCACAGTGTTGATGTTTGATTAAAATCAAAGCAAAGATTGTTTTCGGTGATAAAAATAAGCATTGAATTTTATGAGATGTTTATTTCCGATACCTTACCAATCACAAATTTTGATTGAACAGACACTTCAAAAGAGAAATATTTGTAACGATAAGAACCATTTCGATAAAAGAATACGATTGGGAAATTTTCCTATCTGCTGATATCATACACACCAAAAGTAGCCTTTATTATCAGTCAAAATGTATTTTGCATAGAAAAAAAAGTGCGACCATGAACGTAACAAATTTGCATGCGAGCAAGGTCAGTAATTTTTATCGTAAGGTTAAAAGAGATGCCGATTTTTATCTTAAATACAATTTTCTATCTCATCATAAATCCACACAATATTTCATAATAATGAACTGTGGCGTTTGCACAATATCATTTCATGCAAAATAATTGACGCCAATTTTATTTCATTTATATCATCATCATCACCGTGTGTTTTTTTCTCTACTCAATGTGTTTTCTTCTATTAATTTATTTACGAATCTAGAATGGAGAAATCCATTTCCAGAATAATTTCGAGAAGAGACGCGCAGATGTGACGAAAATTAAAACAAAAAAAAAAGAGTTTCAAACCAGATCAAGGCTCTTATTTTCAGTTAAATTCGCATGAAACTCAAACCAATTATTATTTGATATCGGAATAGAGTTTAAATGACGCGCATGATATGGGGCGATTCCATATTTTTCATCAATATCGATGATGCTGTCGCACATCACAATCAACCGAACAACTATCGCATTGACGTACTGAAGTGTGTGGCATACACAACCATCAAGTTAATTAAAATCAATAAACAACTAACTATTTCTCTCTTGTTCTACAATATTCAATTTGTGTACGAGCTAAAAATGATTGTGCCAACTTGACTACCACATAGACAAACAATTTTTCAAATGCTTTTCCGAAACAAAATAAAAACAAACACTTGAAGCGTTGCAATGAGAATTTATCACTTTTTACCATTTGGTTGTTCAATGTTTGATGTTTGTTCGAAACTCAATTTTTGCAATTTTCCATCCGTACTGAACCAGCTCTCGACCAGAGACCAGAAAAAAATATATAGCTACAATTAAGTTTGGTGTGTTTTCAAAAAATGTTTTCGCATATATGTAAAATGATGATGGGAAAAAACAATAAACAGTAAATTTCGGCAAGCGAGAGAATGGTGCTGTGATACGCGTAGCGTCACAAATCATCATAGCACCAGTAACAAACAGTGTGTGTGTATTTTATAACTATTTGCTAATCGTTTTTTTTTCTCTCGCATTCACTTGATTTAGAGTATGTACTTTGTTTTTGTTGTTGTTTGCGATTGTTATTTGTGTTTTGCGCGTGTTTAGCATTTGTTGTTTCGCTTATTTCGCCAATTATCAGTTTTATTTTTATTGTACACTCTTGAAAAGCCATTGTGAACGCACCGCCGATTTGGATTTTGTTTAAACAAAATTCATTTTCGGTAATTTGCTATGCATCGATAAATACAATGCGTATGGCATTTATATGGTGTGCGTGTTGGTGATACGCACATATGCATGTGTAAATGACATACATTTAAGTTTTATGTCGACCCATAGAGATACTAAACAATGGTTGCGCCTCGAAATGGGCAGAGATTTCACCGAATTTCGCTGTTAATGTTGTTGGCGGCGGCGGCATACATACAAATATAGACAGTAGCCAAATATCTTATCATGTTTAATTATTTGCAATTGTCAATTACTCGCCTTGAATCTTAATAGACTTTTTAATAGAAAAAAATACACCGAAATCGATTGAACATTCAATAAGGATGACACTCATTACGTTTGACGTTGAATTGACGTCGATATGAGAGAAAAAACGGTTTCTTGAAATTTCTAGATCTTGTTGGATTTCTGAAATTCAAATTACAATTCTAATTATTCTTATAATGTGTGCAAAAAAAACAGCCATTGAAAACAGATGAAACATCGATTAATTCGTTAAATCGACTGTTTCCTGCATGCGATCATCTCGCTTCACCACCCAAAGACAGAATATATATACTATATGGTTGACCGTGCACAAAATTACGAGTTTGATTCCGGTCTAGTTTAATTTATCAAGATGAGGCACGTGTGTATTTAAAAAAGCCTATCTCTCAGCTGACATCGCACTGTCAACAATGTTATCACATTTTGTACATGTGATTTCATTTGCTCACCATCATATATGAATATAATTAAAGTGATTGCATCGCAACCAAAGTTGAAATGAAAAAAAAAAGAGGCGGCTATTTCCAATCGTTCGCAACTAGTAAAACTACTAAAACTAAAAATTATTATTTGAAATTTTCAGAAGAAAAAATTGCAAACCATATTTCTATCGAATTTGAGTATGCATCAGTTTCACACTCGCTTGGAATTTATTGCGAATTTTCTAACGAGCTATTTATTTATTTATTACGTCAGGATATTTTCACGCAAATTTATTTTACATTTTTAAATGTTATTGTTCGTCATATTGTTTAGACTGTGCAACGGCGCATATTTCGTATTTCATTTTATTTTCAAGATGTTTGAAAATACTTGTATTGATAATAACAATTCCAAATGGAAAGTCGATGAAATAATCTAATTTATAACCGAAAATGAAGTGAGAAAAATATACATGTCGAATTGGGTGGGATCATGTTGAAAAACTCAACAATTATTATTAATCAGATAGAATAAAATTGTAAATAGAGAGAGAATGAAAATGTAATTGAGGCGATCGAAAACATCTGGATCGATTTGTGATTGTAGATAATAGCCGAAATCATACATTTCGAAAGGGTTCAAAGTTTCAAAAATGATAAGTTCTAAATTGCGGCTACGTTTTCCATGTCATCGTTAGAAATGAATAATTTACAATTGACACAAAATGCCGCGCGTTCATATGACGTGGTGTGTAAAGTTGTGTGTCGTCGACACCTGAACAAAATCGGCGCTTTGTTCGCGTGAAATCTTATCTAATGTGTGTGTGTTTGGTTTTATTTTCATGTTTACTGCACTCTGTTTATGTGATACATCAAGGGAAGATTGTCTGCTGGAGTGGCACCGTCGGCTATCGTTTATTGTTGCCATTACAAGTGATTTTTTTATATTCAACAATCTCACGAATCGATCACGCTTGAAAATGATGGAGTTAGCAAATAAATACTTTAATTCGATTTGATAGTTTCCATTTTTTTTTCAATAGGCTACTCCATTTTTTCTATATCTCTTCTATTCTGTGATCGATTGGATTGAAATTTAAGCAATTTTATGACGCTTTTTTGATCATTTCGAATGATATATTATAAATCGTTACATCATCTCTTTACTTTGAGATAAAAAGAACCCTCTGAAACTCGGTACAGACGCGAAAGCAATTAATATTTATATATATATATTATTTTTTCTAAATAAAGAGACGTTGACAAAAACAATGAAAGCCATATCCGATTAAAATTGACTGTATATGGTATATGTGAAAATTACTTTTGTGACAACTCCTGGCACCGAATTCAGCACTGGCAAATCGAATGACTTGTGAATTTTGAAAAATTTCGAAAAGCACGACATTTTTATTAGTTTCTTTTCGATAACACAAACACTACCAAAATTAACACTTAAATTCACGTGAATCCAATAAATCTACGTTTAGTTTACACTTGTCGTCGATCGACGTATTTATTCGTGTTTAATTTAACTGTTAAACTATATTAATCGTTCACTGATGTTTCAATGTCACTTGAAAATTCTAATTTGTTTTATTATTTTTGCCGGAGCAGGTTTTTGTTTTTCACTCTCGACAACCTGATACGCTCCAGCCAACAAATCGATTGAAACTGCTTGTATGGAGACGTAAATTTAAGCTAGAGAGTGAAATGCTGTGCACAAAGAAAATACACGACGTACACAGGCAATAAAACGATCACAGACGCTTCAGTTTCGTTCGTATTTTAAATTAAAACTGACATGCTATTATCGGCTGTGGCGTGCGCGATAAAACACTTGCCACTTCTGCGTTCCGACATTGTTTTGTCGTGCAACATGTTGTTCATAACCAAAATACAACACATATCACCCAAAAAAATCCGACGAAATACAGAGAAACAAACAAACACAAATGTGAATTGGTTTGGATGTGAGAATTGAACATTTGAAGAACTGTAATCATCGCGTAAATAATATGGAAGAAATGAATACGAAAAAGAATAGTAAGTAGCACATACATTCGACTGTTGATTAAATTAAAGCGGGTTCGATGCGGTTGTATTGGAATTTTAAATGTTTTCAAGTAGCATGTAATTTTATTTATATTATGTTATGGTATTTGAGATAGAACATTTTGGGTTTTGTTTTACGTTACAAATGCTCATCGATATACTACGCGGCATCACAAACACATTTTCAAACAATCGGTCATGATATGGCCGTAATCAATTCGTATTTATTCTCGCCCATTTCTTTTCACTTTTTGCCCAGTTTTTTGCACAATGTCCGGAATTTTATGATTAAAAATTCAAGTGGCAAAATTTCCCATGCGTATACAATGCTATCGATCTCAAATTGAGATTCTCAAGGACGGTCTATCAACAAAATGGTAATTCAAAACAAATTATTATTATTTATTTGATTTGCTAAAAACGATGGATAACTACGATGTCTTGATGTGCTCAAGTCTGAAATTTTGAAATCAAGAAAATACCCCAATGGGGAAAATGTAACGATATTTCTATAGATGAGTGTGTACATTTTTGTAACGGCAATTTATATGGGAAAGTGTGTACGTAATGTTTCCGATTATATGTACTTAGTACAAAGTACGAAATGTACATGTGAATGGAAACATTTTGTGCACATTTGTCATGTTATTTTTTAGCACATAAAATGCACGAAAATAACCAATTTTTATATACATATTTCCCCATTGGGACTTGTTAATTGTTTTGTGAATTTTTATGACAAAGCGATTGTTACATTGATCACCAATGAAAAAAAATGCCAAAAAGATCGACGAAATATTTTTGCATCAAAAAGAAAAAGTTCTATATTGCGGTAAAACCGGCTCAACTATCATCTCATGAAATGTACATTTTTAACGGTAATTTTATTAATTCAAACTAATAAAATGGTTTAAACATTTTGAAAAATTAATATTGTTAACTTTTTCTATTGATTTTCAATTGTGGTCGTCATAAAAAAAGCAAATTTTTTGTTCATCTATCTCAATATTTATGTGGCATATAATAATCACAATGCTAATTTCATTAGTGGTATGTAATTTGGAATTAGCATAAATATTCATTCATCGAATTGGCGCTATAAAATCAATTTATGGACCTATTGAACCAGAAAAGTGTGCATTTCGCAAATCGATTAAATTAATATAATGTTTTGGCCACAATCCCATAATATTTTTGTCTCTCTTCTTTGGGCTCAACTAGTTTTGTGTGAGTTGGATTTTATGATTTTGCGCGTGAGATTATTAAAAATCTATGTATCGCATGCGGTGATGTGTTAATAGGACACAATGTTGATTTTTTGTTTTGATAAAATCATTTGTAACACCGATTGTCTATTTTCATTTTTGACTCGCTGTCCCAATGGCTCAATAAATTGAAATTTGTATAAACGAAAGTTACAAAATATACAGGCAAACAATATTTTTATCGGCATTTTCGGGCTGGCTCTATTTTCAAACCGATTTCAGTGTAATTTGATTTCATTTTCTATAGATTTTCTGTATATTCGTTTCATAACAATGAATTACCAAAAAAATGTGTGTCACAATCTGATTGCACTAGATTAGATAACTAAAAAAGAAGATCGACCAAAAAAAAAGAAGATCGACCAAATGTATATTGTCGTTCGAACTGGTAAAAGGAGCTGAACTTTTCATTTGGCATCCATTTTACATAATGGCTGAAAAACGAGATCCAGAATATCTTAATACGTTGTAATTTACTTTTACGAAGTGAATTAATAAGAACAGCAATAAAAATTCATAAAGTCAAGTGGAACACAGTGTTTCCATAACGACGATTTTTTTTTTTTTCAAATAAAATACAAATTTATAGTTCGCATTCGTCTAAACGTCTTATTTGGTATATATGACAATTTCGTATTATATTTTTTTAAATGATACCGAACTAGGCTGGAGGCATCATATATGTTTATTGAAGACACAATGTGCGCAAAAAAAAGAGAGAAGAATTTATTAATCAAGTTTTACAATAAATAAAACATCAATTTAGTTCGAGGCGGTTTTTGCCGATTCGCAAACCACGTGAACCATCGCACACATTTTGTCAGCGTATAAATGCATCGAGACAAAAATCACAAATTCAAATTGTGAATCAATTTAATTTATATAGACCGTATATATCATGGCAAAATGTAAACTTTTACGTTACAAATGGGAATAAGTCAAGACAACAATTGTACATTGAATATACAGAACTACTTGTAAAACTATCGAAAATATATATTCAACATCTGCGACTCAAAATTCAATGACGCAAATGGTCGTCGCAACAAATGCCATTATGTCAAATCGATGTTTTATTATTATTGAACGAAGCAAACGAATTCTCATAACGATTTTGCTTCGTTCTGAAATGAATATTGATGGGAGTGCAAACAACAAAGACTTAAATCCAATTATATTTTGAGATTCCGACCGAATTCACAACATAAGAAATTGGAAAGGATTCAATTTCATTTGAACCAAAAGTGAACTTCTTGGATATGCTCCGTTTCGGCAGTCCTAAAAATTGCACTTTGTAGAAAATGTAGCAAAATAAGCATCTTTCCCCCAGGATTCCTACAAAAACCTACATTTTTGTATTGAAAAAAATCTACAACATTTGAACGTCTCGAAATGCTTGATTTAGACACCTTTTCGGAAATGATCGGTAAAGTGGACAAAGTCGTATTTTACTACATAATATAATTTAATTTGTCTTATTCTAATGTCATTTTATTGCTTGTCAAATCTTTTTTTTCATCGACAAATAGAGGATTAAAAAGTCGCGCTATGTTAAGAACTTCTTTCTCGCAGTAATTCAATTTGTCTCTTATTTCAAGGCTGACAAAAAAAACTTTATTGAACTAACGAAATAACAACAGCTGTCGTATAATGGAATAGAAACAGACAGTTTGTGCTGTTTTATTTATTTCATTGCCAAATTGAATAAAAACGCAAAATATGAACAGTTCCCGAATTTCGCGGTGTTTCTATTCTAAATGGAATCGAAAACTTTAACTTCAAAACGTCGCTTTGTTTTCGAACTGAAAAGTGGTGCAATTTTATCTACAAATTGAAATGGAAACTGCCGTTAAGTTTTTAGTCGTTTTTACATGTATTATTTAATTGCTGCTGGAACGAGCTGATGACTTCTTTCATTAAAACGATTATAATTTGATGTCCCTTAGCGGAAGCCAAAGAAAACCACTGGGAAAAAAGTATGTATACCATTTCAATAAATTCTTTCGAACGACATCGATTATGCTGTCTACAACTCTACATTGTGCACCATTATATTCACATCAAATGAATTATAATAATTAATAAATGCTCGTTATCATTTCATATAGGCGGTAACGTAATAATGCGTAATCGTCGTCTCCGTACTAATGAATATGCATACACAATGACAGCTATGAATAATCAAAATTTAATTTGCTTGAAAGTGAGTGTTGAAATGTACACATAGATGTAGTCAGAATTGGGACGACAAACAATGAGAATACAACAAGCATCGAGAACCACTTCAAGAAATTCATATTTTCTTTGGCCTTTTGTAATAGGCACACATACAAACAAAAGGAGAGTACAAGATTGAATTTGAATTCTGTTGTGCATCATGAACCATTCGCAGCTCAGAAGCTTTTATGACAATATGTGAACTTGAGCGCATCGAATAGTTTCTATGGTTTTGATTCGCCTATTTCGCACAAATATTACAGATTATGAAAACTTTTCATTTCCCACATTGCAAACATTGAATATACTAATTGAAAGATAACTTTTAAGAGTTGTTCCTTGTTCGAAATTTATTCAAGAATCTTGTCTTCGTTTCAACAATACATGTATCGTACAATCATTTCTTGTACAATTGTTATGTAATGTTATCTCACATATCTGAGACGAGAAGTCAAATTTTAGTTCAAGCATGTGGAAAATAAAATCGCATAGTTTAGGACGTCTTGATCACGATCTGATCCACTTGCAAAAGACCATCGAATTTGCGCGCAAAAATAAAATAAATATATAATATTTTCTTTTGTCAAATTCTGATTTTATTTAAAAATTTGCGTGCGCATAAACATGTGACTGTAAATAAAAAAATAACTGAACCCTCTAACAAGTGTGCGTGCACAGTGAAAATGCTTGGTGTGCATCGCACATGGAATGTGAGTGCAGATTCTACTATATGCGCGCATGGCCAGCGTGAAAATGACAGTCCTGCCATCTAATGCATTAATATTTCCAGGGCTGAAAATTTTTGTTCTGCTTGATTTTGTTGTGTTGTGAACACTTAAAATAGTAATTATATTCTCAAAAAATGCGTGGTTCGAAAAAAGTGCAGAAAATCGAACCTCGCCTAAGGTCTATGCATTGACAATATGTCGAATGAATGGATTGTTTGCAACAATGAATAGAAAAGCGTGAAGAAACGCATCTCTCTGAGATACTCGTACAATTTGAAATTCAAAGAATATTTAAAAAAAAAGATCTTACATCCGTAAGATAAACTTTTCCGCACTGTGATCCACGACATGAATTTATTACATATCTTTTACTGTAAATTTGAATTCACGAGAAAATTGAATCTGACGTTAGTTTTGCGATACAAACAATTTTCGACATGGTTGAGATTTTACTACCCATCCAAACAAGCCCTTCAGATAGGCTCGATAGATCTATTGAATGGGTTCCCATGTGGGAATCACAATGAGTATTATTTCAAAGATAGATTGGCTTCTGAAAAGCCAGAGTTCAATGTACACATAAAAACAACAGTTGGACTGTTAATATTCGGGGCACAAGTTAACCAAAACTCAAATATGCATACAAAGTGTTTTTATGAAAACCAAAACTAATGCGTAATTAAAATCGATTCGTCTGGCAAAATGTGTATATACATTGTGCATAGTAAATGTAAATACGTTTGTAAGTATGAAATACGTTTATACTGTGAAATACATTGAATCTATTACTTTCATGTCATATAGAGTTCAACTGACGCCCCTTTTCAGACGCAATTCGCACAATATTCTACCATTCACGAATATTGAAGCGATGTATGATGACATCATCGTTGAATATCATTTATGATTGAGTCTGGAGGGTTAGTTCACAGAAAGTCACAAATTCATTCCAGTGGGGTTGATTTTGTATCAAAATGTGGTGTCATATAAATCGAAATAAAAATACCATTAAGTTAATCAAAAATCGTTTACCGTTGTCCTTTTTTGGCATTAATATGGCTAGAAGTTTTTGAATTACTAAACTACGTTCTATTTAAAATCATGTTATCTAGTAATTGTCGGAGACAGTTTAACATACATACATAAAACGATGAAATAATTTTCAAAAAAATAACAAAAGCTGTTCTTCAGGTTCTTTTGTCGGCCACAGTGTGAATCATTTTATACGCACACTCAAAATGAGTAGAAGAGACACATAAATCATTATCGACCATAAAAATACGCTTCACTGATGTTTATATTCACATAGACGCAGGAAGATTAAATGTTGCGATGAATAACATTTTGATTGACTTATGCCATAAAATTGATATCCACAAAACACAAATTACATGATATTTTAAAGCAAACTGTATTTATATGTAAAAGTGAGGTGAAATGAGCTGGAATTTAATGTTGTGTAGTAGGTGGATCCGACCTGATCCAAATGGTTTTGGAGGTTGGGCACATTAGTACTGCATCACACACGTAGTTTTTTATGGGATCGAAAATTTCGTTATTTTTTCGATTTTCCCATCGGAAAAGTGAGTAATATCGATTGGTAACCTGTAACCAAAAAATCTAGATAACAATTCTTGAAAGTTGAAATAATCATTAACGGAATTAACCCAATGAGAGGATGTGAAGACTTCAAGTCTCTTTGAGCCGACGGTGGCGCACCGAATTCCAAAGGGGACGTCAATGTAATTGAACAACTCAAATCGAAACTAAACAGCGCGCCAATTTTAAAATTTGCTGTCATTTCCTCCCATTGAATTAACCACATGGTGATTGTACACGATTTTTTTGTATAAAAATTGATGAAAAATAATAATAGGCAACAAAAAATTATTCGAAAACAAAGGTAAGTTCAAAAATGACATTTTGGACATAGATTCATAACGGGCCGTAATCATGGACTATTGAATTTTGTTGGTTATGGTCTACTTTTCAAAATCTGATCTTAGATTGAACTTATTGAACTTACTATTCATTAGTCGATCTGTTTTAGATAATAAATACACGATAAAAAAACACATTTGAAAACATTGCGGAAAATTTTGACCTGTAAGTTTCTTTTTATTTTAATTTCATTCTACGATACATCCAGAAGCATGACAGTGCACATTGGTTCCGACATTTAAACCTTTTCAAAATAAACTTGAGAGCTTTTTCCACTTTTATCCGAACTATCCATTTCAATAATCCAAGAGTTTTTGTCCTCCTTAACAGTTATATCATCGTCCTTTTCTGCTACCGTGTAACCTATTTTTTGAGGTATGATAAAGATGACTTTATGTTGTTCTTTTGTTGGATCAGCCATGACTACATTTAAGCTACTATCGTGATAGTTTATTACAATTGCTCCGCTAGTTGTTGCCTCGATTTCATTTACCTTCCCTATCTCATAAAAATTTCCCATCCATACATCATCAGCACCATCGTAAATTACTTGCTGCTTTTTTGTATTCGAAATTATCGATACATCAATTTTTTGGGCGTAAGTCGATGTCTCTTTTTGATTTTTACCGGGGAGAATTACATATGCATAATCAGTACCGGATGGTGACTTTCCATGCGGTATTGACAGTGTTGCAAACATGCTACTTACTACATTAGTTGATCCTCCTTTATTTACATCAGACCACTTTCCACTTTGTTTTTTCTTTTCAGCATATATATTTTCCGAACGAGGGAACACATAACCAATATCAGATTGATCGTTTTTGCCTTTTATGTGGGCCCAAGTGGCTTTCTTGAATAAAATACCTTGACCAAGAGCAACTTCTTTGCCTTCCACTTGCAGAACATTTGAACCATCTTTCTCTAATCTTCGATTCTCGACTATTGTCTCGGTATCAACATTCTCATTTGAACTGATTGCAGCACCCATCGCTACAATTTTATCTGTTAGAAAGAACCAAGATTTTTTCGCTTCTAATGAACTTCCAGTTACATTTTGCATGGAATAATGCATGCTGGCTGAACCAATCACTCCATCCGAAACACCACCTGTCCAAGATTTTGGATTATTATAACTTTTCCAATCGATTAAACTACCGAATTTATGATCTGTTGTTGTTCCTGGAAGTCTTGTCATATTTATAGTTGCCCAATAGTCATCATCGTATTGGCCAATATCATTATTATACAAATATAACACTCCGGTTCCCATGTAAAATCCCTTCAGATTTTCCCCATTTCCACATTCAAACGAGCTGATTTTTCTACCAAATAAACTCAATCCAGCTGCAAAATGTGTCTTTTGATGGGTCATCTGATCCATTGCGCTTAGCATATGATTTCTGTCTCTCACACCAAAATCTGGTCTAATCGAATTATCATTCATTAAATGTTGAAATGTTTGTGTTTTATGAATGGATAATCCATTATAATAACTGTCCTTTGTACCATTGCTAGCTATAGATATAGCTTCTTTTACATAACGAGCATATTTATCGCGATATGATGAGTCTTGATTTTGTGAACTAATCACAAGTATTTCATACAACATAATTCTCCCAACAATTCTAGATGTGGTTGCTTGTCTAGAAATTCCTCGGGCACGAGTCATATCAAATATTTCAGCTCGTCTCATAACTGGTAAGAAGCTTGTTTCAATGTATGTATATAAATTTTCAATGCCTTGTACATACGTTAGTTTGTCAGTTCCACTGAACAATTCATAAATATCGGCACTTCTCGCTAAAAGCACTTCCCCATACCCACCAGTATATGGAACGTATTTGTGTTGTATAAGCGAACCATCTTTATAAAATCCATCACCATTTTGAACTATTTCATACACATCATTTGTCGCATTCATTCCTTGTCGAACTTTATTGACATTATTATTCAGAATACCTCGAACCATGACGATAAAAGTTTTATCTAGTAAATTAGCTCCAGTTTCCTTTTCTTTGAAACGTGAACTTTTTGTTGGATCCGGCACGAAACGATCTACTGATCTTATGTATTTGTTCAGTTTCACTTGAGATAAATCATCAAACATTAGCAACAAAACATTGTTGTATGACTGCGGCGTTCCAATCTCCCAATCCCACCAATTTCCATAGATTTTTTCGATTTTTTCATTATACATTTGATCATAAAAGTAATTTATGGCGAACAATATGTCCTTTCGTAGTGTATTGTTCTGATAATATGTCGAATGCGACGTCTGATAAAGTACCGCCATTTTCTCGATATTTCTCACGGTTTGTGTGATTTGTGCAGAATTCACCTTCCAGTCGCGAAGATTTTTGAATAAAAAGGGATTTTGCTCATCTTTGTTTAGATTACTTAACACATTATTTTGTAAATCCTTTTCTTTATCCAAAACGAGTTTTTTCAAAATTTCATCATCATTTGTAAACGGTTCACCAATCAGTACCGTTTTCCAATTTGACATCATTTTGGCAGCGAAATTCGGACCCCAATTATCGGATTCATCAGGTGCTTGATCAGCCAAACTTTTCATGTTGTATGTTGGTTTCTTTACTGATTTCATACTCTGTGATCCAAAATTTGTGATGGAGGGAGTCTTGCCAATGAATGAAATGTTCTTCTTTGAATCATTGATAGGTTTTTCTGATGAAACTGTAGAATCATCATTAACATCACTAGATTGTGTGGTTTGTTCAAAACCTGGACGATCTATACCATTTTCTATAGGGAAAGCAAGAACATTTTTCTCTATCAATAAAAAGTTTTGCAAAAACTATGTTCGTAATGTGTATTTGGCTCAATGAATTTCGCGATAATAATGCAATCTTGGCTGCCGCCACCAAAAATCTTTTTATTTATGACTTTCGGTAACTCCCAGAATGAAATTGGTCGCTACAGAAATTTTGAAAAAGACTTTCAAAAGATCGTTTTCACAAAGAAAAATAATCGTTGACTTATGGAATTTAGGTCGATGAAAAAATGAAGTGGCGCAAACAACATTTTTGGAACCTTGAATATAGCTTTCATTTATAGCTAAAAGCTGTCAGCTTTTGTTAATTGTTATGTGCATATAACTTACTTGAGGATAACTGAGAATTCGCACCAGCGATTATTACGTACAGTGCTATGAAACCAACAAAGAACTTCATTTCAACACTTTTTGGACAAACTGTTAGGTTTAAAAAAATTTCACTTTGATAACCTTATTTCCTTGAAGCATCACATTTTATAGAGAGTGGTATCTTTATCTAATATCAGCACCCGTAATGGTTCCGTGTATGTTTATTGATAACTATCAATTATAGGCACTAATTGTCGGTATTGTCTTTGAAATCGTTTTGATAAAAATTTCAAGAGCAAAAGCCGAACTTTTTTCAGTACATTATAAAAGCGTGGTTATATAGCACAAGCGGCAAGTGATTGATGCCATCTTTAATTGCAAATGAAAACAAATCTTTTTTTACAATGTATAGTATTCTGAATGGATTTAATTTGAACGGTTTTAAGCTATTTCTTCTCCAAGCTATTTGGATCAAAACTGCCATAAAATGAAATATTTTGAAGATATTTTATATGGTTGCGGAAAAAAATACGAAGGCTGTACCTGATTAAAAAAATTATAAATTTAAAGCTTCCGCCCAAAAAATCCTACTAGATCCGAGCGGGGCATGTCATAAACATGATACGAAAAACTATTTTATTTTAAAACGTGTTATGAGTCAACTCATAACAAAAATAATGTAAACATAACTTGGATTCCGTATTTACTTTTCTATCAAAGATTTTAATTTCCTATTTTTAAAGAAATAGTAATTCCGTATTCTTCATTTCCCTATTATTACTATTTGGTCCTTCGAATCTAGCGTCTGCACTGATCACTCAGACATCACTCAGACGCAGTCGAGCCAATTACTTCTTAACCAGCTACTGAAGATTGGAGACATTATATAAAGAGAATAATAACTTAGTCTGGCCCACAAATTTGGAGAGAATATTTCACTTCAAGTAATCAGTTTAGAGTAAAATTCAATCCCTACGTGCTCAACAATACAACTATTTAGAGAAGAAACCATAAGCTGCTTCAATACGCAAACATTAAATTTTAACCACAGTGAAAACTTGTAAATCTCATTTTCTTGTCAAACTACATAAGGTCAGCAAATTTGAAGAAATTTTGCTCGGGAGGTACCCCTAATATGCATTGAAATTTCTTCAAACTCCCGGAATGTTACTTTTGTGTGAAAAAAATAAGCTGTGCAAAGTTTACTCATTACGATATCATACAGGGCTTCCATATAAAAATCCAAATTTTTCGAAATTTTTGTATAAAAAGTCTGTCTAAAATTATTTGTATGTTTTTCCAATATTATATTCGGTTTCGCCAAAAAAAAAAAAACCATTACATATTTTTGATTGTTAAGCATACATAAAATACTACTTTTGGAAGGAAAATGGAATTTTTCTCATATGCATCACGCCAGGCATGACTCTACACACTTTACTCTATGAACCAAAGTCGTTCAAAATCTAATACGTAACTAAACTACGTTCTCTTTAAAATCATGTTATCTAGTAATTGTCGGAGACAGTATAACGGATACATAAAACGATGAAATCACCTTTAAAAAAATGACAAAAGCTGATCCTCAGGTTCGTTTGACGGCCGCAGTGTGAATCATTTTATACGCACACTCGAAATGAGTAGAAGAGACACATAAATCATTATCGACCATAAAAATACGCTTCACTGATGTTTATATTCACATAGACGCAGGAAGATTAAATGTTGCGATGAATAACATTTTGATTGACTTATGCCATAAAATTGATATCCACAAAACACAAATTACAATTTGCAAACACATCAAAAAAACAAGATGCTAGACATCGACGAAGCATATGTTCATTGCTTTTCATTCGGCACTCACTTTTGGATGGTGATAAACGACAAACTTTCCGTATAAAATATCCAATGAATGATCTAAACATCAAAAGTTTTGTGTGCGGTAAAATTGTTTTGTCAAAATACTGTAAATACACATGGGGATAAAATTGATAGATGAATCGATTGTAAGTACATATAAATTTCAAGTCTGTCTGTGGTGCGTCTTTCTAAATACTATTTACTTACTTACTTTGGTTTGTAATATTCACGCTTCAGTTACGCCCAATTTGAATCGAATTCGAATATAAAGTTAAGCTATTGGCTTTTACAAGCGACAAAATTTGCATTTTCAATGCAATTATTTCTGATACATATGTCGTGTAAAACGCTTTAAAATAGGCAAAATAAAAAATACCGTTATCACATATAAATACCAAATCGGAAGTACTTTAAAGCACAGTCAGGCTAAACAAACATTGGGGCGATTAGGAAACAAAAACCAACCAGTTCATCGCTACATATTTCCACTCAATCTGTTTGAGTGAAAATTGTATTGTACTCATTTCCCCTCTTTGAGCGTATTCATTTTGCAAACAATGAATGAGCGATGAACGAAGTGGATGCGAATGAATGTCTGTTTTGATACGTTTAAACGTGTACATGCATCGCTTTATCCATTGAGTCAGGCAAATAGCATTGCGTGAATTAAATACGGGATATTTTTCACTCAACCGACGCCGTACAACAAATGAATCGCCGGGTTCGTCAAAAACGCAGTTTTCGTAGACAAAAACTCAAAAAAAAAAAAACACATGTACTAGAGAGAAATGTTCCCATTCATTCGGCATAGCAGTTCGCATTTTTAACCAATGCTCAAAAATGTTTCAACGTTTTGCTTGCTGATGTCACATTCATTGTGTGCGGTGCATGTGGATAATGCTGTCTTTCGGTTTCGACTCGCTCAAACTATGAATTGTGTGTATATTTTTGAATGGTTCGCATGTTTCACATTGCGTTAGTCTTCATCTAACGTTCGTTGAATACGGTTCGTTTTTATCCATCGTCAACAATCATTTCAAAAGCCAATAGGAGAGCAAAAGAGCGATATGGTTTCGGTCTACTCTACATTAAATGAATATAAAAATTTGTGAAGTGTTTGGACTTTCTCTGCGTTTATTTTTTGTTTTCTATCTTTAAATATAGACTTTTTTCTCGAGTGCCAATGAATGCATTTGGAATATGCGATTTTTTTCATGAACGATTTTTTTTGCGCGGTTGAAATTTTTTTGCGTGATAGTGAATCTGCATAATACATTGGAGGAACTTTAAAAAAAGTGAATCCCTTTTGGGCTCCCATAGACTAGATAATAGGAAAGAGACAAAAAAAATCTCATTTTGTGTGAATCATTGAAAAGACCAAGACCAATTCCACGAAATCGAAAAAGAGTTGCCGACTCCAAAAATGGAAAAAAATCGCCAAAAAAATTCTGAGTATGTTTTTTGTGTGTTCAATCTGGCCGGAATTTTGAGATTTATCGGTGTTCAGTTTTATGTGTTAAGCGAATAAAACAAGCGCTTGAATATGTGAATTGGCAATTGTTCCAGATTTATGTGTGTAAGAGAGTAAAATACCCCACAACGTCGACTCAATAAATTCTTTTCAAACCGTTTTCGGTACAAATCACCGTATTTAGCAAAGTTCTTGTGTTCATTCACCGCTTGCGGTCGCCAAATTGCAACAAAAACACGAGTAATGTTTTTTTTTTTGTTCATGTAGGTTGATCGAACACCATGAGATCGTACACATAAAATAGAGTAAAACTTTCAAATTTTAATTGGCATTGAGCGGGTGAACAAATACGTTAATTGCATTCGATTTTTCAGTTTTCGAATTTAATTTGTGCCTTTATTTTTGCGCGTTGAAGAATTCATTCAATTTTTGGCTTGAGAATGACACCAGAAAAAAGCGGATCACATCGCAAATCATTGCCAATGCCAAAACTGCTCACTCACTCAATTTGTGTCGACTTTTTTTCTCCTTCTTCGTTCGTTTGTGCTTGTGTATGCCTCTCTGTTTGAATAATCACGCACTGGTACAATGTGATTTATTGACCATTTTTTATGAGTTTCGTAGACAACGTAAATCGATATATTTATTTTGTCGTCCGCTAAGATATATTAATCATTTGACCATAGAATATTAATAGAGAGCATACTATAAAAACAAAAGAAGAGCAAACAAAACTTAGGTTGCCAGACGAATCGATGATGCGAGAGCAAAGAAGCGCGCGTCAAAGAAGCGAATTGATTGCAAATCGAAATGGTCTTATCGCAGATGAGTAGACACTCACAACTAGTGGCACACGTACGTGGATGGAAAGAGAAATCAATGGCTGAGCGTGCAAGCGAATGTGAATCAATTCGATGCCATTTAAATTGAAAGTGAATTAAAAATGTGTATCAGACACATATCATATTTACGCGTTTAAAATGATTGCGGTGACAAATTGAAATTAACCGCAAAATCATCAACACTGATAATGAAATACATTTTCGAAATGGATTGCTTTTAAAATTTTAAATGTTCATTTGAATGATTTGAAACAGCCAAATGGGTTGGAATAAATCACATGCATGTCGCAACATTTAAGTGCCTTCAATTAATCGAAACATGGTGACATTTATGTCTGCCATTACTTGATCAAATTTAGTTCAGTTTATTACTTTGCTCAGTCAATGTTTGACATAAAACATTTTAATTGAATTTGATGGTTGAATGAGTGATTTTACATTATTGATGCGACTAAAGAATTTAAGTGAGCGTTAGAGCAAAAACAAAACATCATTTAAATAGATGCAAATGTAAAGAAATGCTTGAAAAGTTTTGCACATTTACGTGCTATGTTGCATGCATGCTTTTTCCAACTGCTATTCAAATGCCTGCAAATGGAATTTTATAAATAAATCATAAAGCGGTGACACCAAACGATATAAACTGCAGCTCGCAGTGAATAAAGAAAGGCGGTTTTGCTCTCAAACTATCTCTGTCTATACACTCCTTTTCATTCAACAGATCTTACTTTCTCATTGTGCATATCTGTACTACTCTGTGTGTGTTTCTCATTAAATGAACTTCATTTTGACATGAAATTTTACATACAAGCTTTTCGCTGCCACTGAATCGTGATGAGTTTTGAAATAAATACGCATACATACACCAAACAAAACCGATTAATTTGTACAATTTTTTTTGTTGAGTACGGATACAAAAAACCGGTTTGCATTGCCCTCGATGGTTTGCTATTTTACCTCTCTAAATGACTCAAAAGCGCACATTTTTGCAATTTTGCATTTGTTTTGTTTTAATTCTTGGGCTAGTCGTATGTCATGCGATTCGGCATTTTTACATCAATAGATGTGCAAATTATCTTATTTACTCTGTTAACCAACATTAAAGAGTTTATGGACCTTTATTTCAACAAGTGTGAAGAGCACAATTGCAAAGTGCTAAATTGTTAACGATACACTTTTGAGTCCAAACGATTCTGCAAAATACACATAATTTGCTGCTGGCAAAAAATGTCCCATATTTTTCTTCAAAAGACTAATGAAATAGACAAAACAAAACGGATAATGATCAAATGACAATGAGCGATAAATTGAATGCTCAACAAATTTTGTTTGAGCAAATGAATTACAGCTGCTGAAAAGAATGATAAAACAAAAAAGAACCGAAACCGCGTCTACTGCGTAAGAATATGTGTATGTATGTGTTTAAAATACGCATAAATCATACCGACAAACATTTTGAGGTCAAACTATAACTCATCAGCGAATCGGGTGTCTGCGATGCTGTTCACATCCAAAAAAAAATGTATTCGAAGAAGGGTTTGAATCGGATTCACATAAAAAATTCAATATAATACCATTGACAATATTCGCATTAGCGTTGGATTTGTTGTCTTTTCCTAGAACCGACCGAACGCACACACAAAAATCGAAAATCTACGACGCAATTCAAGTCATCGCGTATTGCACGAACGGTGTGAGAAAGACACTAGCAAAGAAGCGGTCATGCAACCGTCTTCCTTCTTGCGATTCGTTCTAATACACATATTTTGTAGGTAGTAGACAGAGCAGACATTCATTACAAGAAGAAAAAAAAATCACCAAGAGACCTAAACAAATCGTTCGGTATTTGATGACGGTAACACACATTCGAATGAAAAATACCAGAGTGCCACATAGAACGAATCGCGTAAATAAATAAACCATTGAAAAACAACAACAAAAAAAAGATGCGGAACCAAAACTTTTTATTAAAAGCGACGGAGAAAAAAAAGGGCGCACAAAAAAAATCGCGACGGTTCATAAAAATAACGATAATAATCATCATGTATGAACGCATTTTCAATACAATAAATTAAATTACTTGCGTGCGTGTGTGTATTTGTCGGGTCGGACTCCTCTCACGTCTTGATTGGTATTATAGCGGCGCTTTGATTTCAACAAACCGACCGAACAATTTCAATGCGTCTCGCGCAATTTTTGGATTATTTATTAGTAACCGAGTTCAAGTTGAAATTGGAGCGAATGAATCTCGATTGTGCGTATTTTTTTTTCTCGTTCGGTGCGTGTCTGCTCATTTTTTTCCCGTTCTCTTCCTTTCTGTATACACTTCCCTTTTCTATTTTAGTATTTTTTATACTCTCGTGCGTTATGTTTAACGCTCGGCATCACAGACACACTCTCTTTTGGTATTGTGCAAAGAAAATGAATATATGTGTGAATGGGAACGCTTATTAAATCGCGCTAACCGATGAAATATATGGCGCTGTCGTGAAAAAAGCGTATAAATTTCATTGATGTCAAAGGAACAGAGCCAAGAACCCGATACTAAAAAACCGAATTATACCACCCGAATAAAAGCAGTTTTCTTTTAATATTGTTCTCTGTGTCTTTATTCCAGGCGCATATCAACATCGGGTTACATGTTGTGCTAAAACTCGCTGAGACTACACAAAAACAGCAACGGAACCCATCGACCTTGTGAATTAAGTCAAACAGACTACTCGTATACATTATTAACGACGTGCTCACATTATATTAAAGCTGTTGAGAAAAAAATTGCAATTATAATGATATCAAAAGAAATGTTAAAAGTAAAATCATAAAAGAAATTTATCGATTCAAGTATTTTCACACAAAAAAAAACAACAACATTGTAACGTGTTTTGCGTGCATCGAACGCTGGCGAGCGCTTATCAAATAAGAATTTTCAAAGATAATTCATTTGACGGCATTTGTGTACGGTGAAAATTTGTTGGAAACGGAACCCTGTGTATATGACAGAGTGTGTAACTGAATAAATCCAAATTAAAAGTGACAAAACACGTTGAAGAAAATATAGCCAGCCAAAAATTAAGAGAATCTAACGGTGAAAAAAAACGTAATATAAACAAACAAAAAAACGACGAAAAAAGTGCGAATAAATTAAGTGACGATTTTATTGTGTCATCATTTAGATTTATCGCTTAAATTAAAACTCGAAAATCAGAGCAAGAGAGAGACAGAAAGAAATAGGAACAAACGAAAAGTGATACGAAACATTGAACTGTGTTGAACGTGTGTAAATCGGTGCAAATAAAGAAATATCTCAGTTGCCGCGTAACACAATTTGTTTGAATCATCGCCAAAATACGGAAACGGTTAGTTATTTTTATTGCATGTTTTTTTAATTAAATTTTTTTTTTTTGATATCAACTTTGTAGAATGTATATAGGCAGGTTGAAATGGGAAAATTTGTTTTTTTTTTTTTTTTTTTTTTTTGAAAGCATAACGTGTTTTAAACGTGATACCATTGCTTAGATTATCTCTTGTTATCCGATCGTTTTCGTGTGTTTTTTTCTTCTTTGTGTATTTCCGCGGAGAACTTTATACATTACTATTTGAAGTACTGCATTCACACCACATAATAATTATATCGAAAACCAATCGAACAATAACAACACGAATGGTTTCATTGATTACAAAAACAACAAATTTTCATTAAATCTAGTGAGGAAATTGGTTTTGCATTTTTAATTGCATTGATAATCATGAGTTCGTGTGCAAAAAGTGTTTTTTTGTTTGTAAATCGTTTTGTCATCAGGTTTTCACGTGCGTGAAATTTATTTTCTGTTCAACGCGTTTGTCATTGTTTACCTTTAATATAAAATATAATGATAAATAATTTTTTTGGGCGAATTGTAACATTCAATATGCATGGCAAATGATTAATTTATCATGTATTGAGTTGAAATTTATTTGAATCACTTGTTCACCAATAAACAATATCGATTACGGTGTGATTAAAATTGCTGTCAATGTAAAATAATAAATTTATGCTGAATAGGATTCAACAGCTGTAAAACGATTGAGTTGTTTAATCGCTAGCAACTTTGTTGCATTCACTTATTTCAGAAGAAATTGTCGTTGGTCAGTGTACGAGGGCAGGTTTTTTTTTCAATTTTCGAACTCCATTTTAACTAGTGTAATTTGACGTCCAAAAAACAAAACAAAATTGACGTCCAAAAAAGATCGTCTTTTTTTCGCCGAAATCCCTAAAAAAGCGAAAGACAGACATTATAATGAGATATTTTCAGCCAGATATCGTCAGGAGCTGAAATTTAGGAAAAACAATAGAAGTGATTTTTATGGTTATAATTACACTTGGATTGCTACAATCACTACAACAAACACTTTCATTGTTTTCACTCCATTTCAGCTCCTGACGATATCTGGCTGAGCTGATTCAGCTGGCTGAAAATATCTCATTATAATGTCTGGCGAAAGAATTTTCTAAGTCTCAGGAGGGCAAACCCTCTATATGAATGGGGTAGAATAAAAACTACTTCTCGAAAAATGTTTAAACACGAAACCTAAAAAAAATTTTCAATGAAAAGTGAATCAATTTTTTTTGTCCAATTGAAGTGAACCAAAAAAAATTTGTTCAATAAAAGTGAACCTAACAAAAAAATTCATTTTAGTGTATTTTACACTGAAAAAACCGAGTGAAATTTTTTTTTTGGTTCACTTTTATTGAACAAAATTTTTTTGATTCACTTCAATTGGACAAAAAAAATTGATTCACTTTTTATTGAAATTTTTTTTAGGTTTCGTTTTAAAATACCAATTTTTCGAGAAGTAGTTTTTATTCTACCCCATTCATATGAAGATGAATGGATTTTTTCTGCTGGACAAAAAATTTAAATAGAGGCTTGTATGTGTAAAGACAGTCGATTAATTCCAAAACACCACCCCCTATCGTCAGGTGTTTTGTAACGGAAGTGCAATTGAAACTTTCAAGAGTATTTTTTTCGGAAATCAAAAACTTGCGATGTACTTTGAAAAGTACAAGATAGCAAATTGAAAAATTCAAGAACATAATAGTTTTCAAGTTAAAACAATTAAAAACTTGAATTTGTTTCATGTTATTTCTGCCATGTTTGTTGTCTGATTTTGATTGAAAATTAATAAATAATTATGGAGTAGTTTCTACGTTTATTTATATCTAAAACTATGCGGGACATTAGTTGGGCAAATATATTTTATGAATGATGTGCATATTATGGAATCAAGTGAAACTTTTCGCTCAGTCATAGTTAATGACTTGTTGAAGTCATATAAAAGTCAGAGCATAGTTTTCCATGCGCGGTATAAAAACATTTATAAATGATGAGAACTTGGTAATTTGTTTGTCTTCACAGGGAAATCGAAATGTGTGTGAAAACATTAGTTTCCGGGCATGATAACCACAATTTACTAACATCAAAGTTTCTGATGAAAATAATTATATTGAAGTTAAGAGAGATTGATTTTGGATTTTAGAATTATTTTGACGGTTCCATGAAGCTCTTGTTCACTATTATCTATTATCTTCACATCAAAATTGAAATTCAAAACAATCACCAAACGGGATAACGCATAACATTTACAAAGAGAATAAAAGCATTATCCCTCTGTATGCATTAAATGTATTACCATTAAAGTTCGTTCAACACATAATAATAGACAAAGATATAGGGCGCAAAACAATGAATTTTGATGGAATGTGTTTCACAACGGGATACGGGCATGTGTTCGTGTAATCCACAGATTCAAATGTCTGCTTGCTTGCGTATATATATAAATTATTGAATGAATTCAATTTGTGTTTCATCGTCGAGATCTATGAGATCTTTGAATACGAAACTTTGATGCTGGCTCATCTCTGCACATCATACAATTTACTGAAATGAGACATTTTCATTGAATAATCCTTTGAAACGGTGTGTACATGCATCAAAGTTCTCGCCAAAATCTATTTGAATTTTGAATTTGCAAATTAAATCATCAAGATAAATTAAAATGTTATTTACTTTTGCAGCAACATCAAAATTATATGACACAACATTAACACGTCGACAAATGATATACAAGCATGTTAGCATGAAGATGTCGAATTAGCAACATCAATATGTAACAGAAAGCCATTAGCAAATGCATATTTTGTTATCAATTAAATGCATTTGATTGATATGTTCACGACTATCTTTCAAGATAAGAAATGGCATGTGATTTATCGTAAGCAACGCGAAAAATCGCAACATTACATTTCCATTTCGTTTAATTCAATTAAATTCCAAAGAAGACTTTGAAGTAAAGTTGCAAATGATGAAAAGATTGAATTCGAGTATGTGATTCAATTGAAATTCGGATGAAAATTCAAAAACTAATGTCTTCACTGTCAAAGCGACAGAGTTTTTCATCATGCACCAGCATAAGATGTCGTGATTTTTAACTACAAACACATTATCAATTAGAATTGCGCACCGATTCATACTCAGGTCCCGCATTCAATAAGTATTTACAAAGTATTCGTACACATCGTACTTCTTCTGTCTCTCGGTCCTGTTTTTACCTTCATATCCTTTTTCTTTGCATCAACCACTGAATCTGTATCAAAGTGCAACCGAAATTATTTAAGCGTTGCACTTGAATAATATTCGATGTTAAAGTTTTTCCACCCATTCTCCCCAAAGCAAAAAGATGAAGTCATATCGACAAAAACAACTTTTGTTCAAACTGAAAATGTGTGTGTTTGTGTGTGTATGCATAATAAATTCCTTTACCATGCGGTTGCTCGGTATTTGGTGAACGGTTTCTATTTCACTCTCTGTCTCGCCGCTACAAATATTCGAGTACATTGGTACACACTTGTTTTATATATCTCATCCATTCAACGTTCCGGTATATCGGCACTAGGAACCACTTCACAAATTCCCATTTATAATTTTGAGCTTTTCATATCAACACAGAGATATACCTTTGGAGCTTTTCATATCCACTTTCTTACTTTTACTCTTTCTTAATCTATCGTTCTCTCAGCACTAAATACAGCATTTGACATAGACGACAAAGTCGTATCCTTTGAAAATCATTATTTCATACATATCAGGGATATACTCGTCTCCTTGTTCTGGCTCAAAATTAGATTTGTCTCTTTTCACGCGCGCAACCGAAGCTTCGATAAAATTGTGCAGTAATTGCTCTCATTCTCCGTGCACAGTCCGGAAAACAAAAGTTAGCTTTGATTTGGTGGCTTTTGTGCGAACCAGTTTGTTCCATGAACATCTCTGCGTACAGAGTAGTACATCTATATATAATATGACTTAAATTGATGAAAATGCGACTAACGAACATGCTTAAAGGCTCGTGTGAGAGCAAGAACAGTAGATTTGCGTAAATATCAAGATTTTTCTGCATCTTGGACACACAGTTTTGCGAATGGAAATATGTTCGTCTACCATGTGGTATACGTAATGTGCACACAATTTGAACACAAACCTTCATTGTGGTTCTCACTCTCTCTCTCTACAATTCTACATATGTCTTTTGATAAATTGCTTTTCACCATTGAGATTTTGATTGTCTCTCGTTTTGAAATTTTCAATGCGGCTTTTATACTATGCTCATTCGGTCTTTCGTTTTACATAGCATCGAACCTTTGGCATAAAAGCATGACCGAAATAAAATTGGCAAATTATCAATTTAAATGTGTACATGATGTGATTCATTTTTCTTTGTCTAACTACATCTTCGGAGTCGATTTAATGAATTATAAACGTGTGGTCAATTGCGTTGATACCCAAACATTTTCGATAGAATCGCTTTGTCTTCGTGGATCAAACTCATTGACTTTCTCGATGTTCATATAAAATTCGAACTAGGTTCTCAAGGCCAAATCCATTTTTAGAAAAGAAATGTTATAGGCCCTTTATTTACTCCATTTTATCAATTAGCTTCGAAAATCACTTTAATCATAGAAAATTCCACCAATGTGCATAATTTATGTGGTACTTACAAAACTTCCATCAGTTAAATGTTCAATTTTAACACGCAATACTTAGTCGATTTCTTTTGGGCGAATTTTCGGGATCCCGCGTAGAAATACCTTAACTAGTGGACAAGAGATTTTTACATGGAGTTTTATTGCATAATAGAAGAAAAAGAGATTTCTATATAAGTAACATGACAATTTTGACCTTGAATTCGTTCCATTGACATATTATTTTTGGTACAAAGAGAAATTTAATATTTGATTAAGTATAAAATGTCCTTTACATTCGCTTGAGTACAAGTCACATTTTTACAAAAATAGTTTCAAAAAGATTACCGGGGCTTTCAA